AACTATTTTCTGTTCACTCATAATTTCTTTCCTTTATTGGAAGCAGTATTTTAGCTTAATTTTCAGTGCTAGACCTCAGGTTATCAAAAATTGAGAATATGTCAATTTTCGGCATCATCCTTTTTGGGGATCATTTCGAGTCCATCTTTTTCTAAATAGACCTGATTAACAGATGTTCAGATCAGCAAGATCTTAGATATCACAGACAATAGGGAGGCTACCTTTTGAGACTGGACACTTTTGTATGAAATTGAAAGGATTCACTTTCTTTCATCTATAAATGACTTCTACTCATACATGTCTCATGGTATATTGAGTGTAAAATTCTATATTTGTTTTGCAATTAGATCTTGTAGTTTCAAGGATTCCTCAAACATGTACTGCATTAAAGCTAGAAAATCAGAATTCTAAATGAACCCTGCAAACAAACCAAGAAAATTCTCAAAATAGCCTCTTTAATAAACCTGGTAGTTCATATTAGAAATTTAAACTTTTAATCTTATCTTTAAGTAATTATTCTTCTGTGACCTTTTTCTATTGCTAAACTTATTTAGTAAATACAGTTGCAAGATAGAAATGTTTCGATTATCTCCTGATATCAATTTTCAATTCTGAAAACTTCTATCCTAAAAGATGGCTACATACTCACAAATTTTGATATAACCTCCATAAGTACTTCAAATTTATTCTTTTTTCAATATAAAAACGTGCATATCAAATTCATAATCAAACCCTTTTATTATAACCTTAAAGAAAATTTCTTTATTTACAAATCGAAATACTATTAAAATACAAAAGCCATTCCATATTATGATGTGGAATCCTTGATTAAATCTGATATTTGGAATGTTTTGAGGTTACCAGGCATTTTACTTTCTTTAGAGCTTATGGATGATAAACTATAAGCCAGATGTTCTCTTCAATACCTAAGATGGAAACAGGGAAAAATTCTTCATCTAATGGACTGCTCCTATTTAATTTAATTTTCCCACCATTAATGAGAATCAATTGAAAATAAATCAAATTTTATTGTTGCTCCACATTATTCATATAAATGATTTTTCTAGTAAAACATAATTCAATTATATTTAAACAAAATTTAAGCACTTACATAAACTAATAGTAGAAGGTATCTAAAGCTTAATACCTCAGCCTACTATTTAAGTCATTAGTGGAAAAATAATTGGAATGGTTTATGCTTTTTACGAGATAAATTTTTCATGCCAAGATCAATTTCAATGTAAACTATATGAATGATAAGTCCTTAAGATTTAGGCTGAGTCCAACTAAAATATTCCTTTTTGTTTTTCAAAACAAACAATGAAAACTAATCTACATGTTATTACATATCTTATTTTTTTTTTTAAGACTTTAATTGATAAATACCCTTAAGAGTATTAAAGTCCTTTAGTTTTCTTATTATTGCTGAGAGTGAAGAGAATCTTCTTATAAATAGAATAATGGAGTGATTAATAAACAGTGGGAAGGAGTGCTATAAATTAATCATAAAGAACGATATTATTTTTCATTTTCATCAGATTCTATCAATTTCCTCATTTTTTCTGAATATATTTCATATTAGTTATATTTTTATTGGAAGAGAGAATATTGAGAATCTTATGTATGATTTTTCTCTTCCAATACAATAAATTATTGAAGATAACCATTTTATTTAAGTTGTGATGCTTCTTTCTATAATTTTCTTTAAAAATATAGTGTTTTCAGTAAATATGTTTAAGTATCACTACAGGACTAGTTTTAACATCATATTATGCGTTATTTCCTATGTTTTATTATCTAAATTTAATAAAATCATCAAAGTAAATGATTTTTGATAAGGGTTTCTAATTTTGAGTTAACATTGACAAAACCACAATCAAGTCAATCTTGCTTATCTTATTGGCAAAGAATATGTTTAGTTTATCTTATTAGCTTAATGATTCAATAATTTTTCAACTTATTTAAAATCTAATTTATATATGTATTTAATCTCTGATTTAAGGAAATCTTCAAACTCTTAATTATTTTAATGAGCTATTCGTCTTTAGATGACTACATTTCTGATAACGAGTTGTCATTATAATCTTTTAGTTATTTAATTTCTTCTCTTACCAATTTAAATGTTTATTCTCCACTAAAAATTATTTTAGAAATTAATTCTTAGGATTCAATAAGGCATTCCACAGATTATTAGGGTCACTTGATCTTATTAAATTTATGGATTCCATAATTTAGACAAAATGTTATGATTTAGACTAAGATTCGATTGATTCTTAGATTAATTAAAATTCCTTTTCATAATTCTAACTTTGATTCTTTCGATTCAATTTCGATTTGGACATATTCCTTTTATTGATCAATTAATTGAAGCAATTTTCTAAGTTCTAACTTGATTTAGTTTTTGAATGATTTTATGGATGATTGTAATGATTTAAATTAGTTAATCTAAACAAAATTTCTTCCTTTGAAATTTTTAAATATTAGGTTTTCATGCATTATATCATCTCAATAGCTTCATAAAAAAAGCAATACTATTTTTGTCATCAACTCTTTCAGCAGGACATCTTGTGAATAAACAGTTGTCATCAAATCTGGTATAAAATAAACCATACTTATAGAATTATAATGAGAAAATTGATATTGAAAGTAATATAATTACCTACAATTTGATTAAAATTATCCAAATAATGGTTTCTTGAGTTTTAAAAACAAAACTTTGTCTAAAAGGATTGACTTTGAGAAGTGAGCAAGAGTTAAAGTAAGTTTAAAATAGTACGATAAGTTTCATAGATTGTAGTTTTTACAAACTCTAGAAAATATCAACACCTAAAATTTTAGTTTGGAATGTTTGAAATTTTTATTTATTAATTATTTAAATTAGAGTTCTAACCTTTTATTGTCATGAAAATTTTGTTTAATGATCCACATAGTCTCCTTTTAATATATTTAAATTATCATTTTTTATTGAAGTTCTTTGATACCTATTATTTAGTTAATACACATATTTAAAATCAATGCACTAGACTAAGACATCTTAAAATATGCTTTTACAGCATCCTAAATTATCGATTCTTCTTTAATAGTCTTTGCATTTATTCAATTAAAGGGTGATCAAGCTGAGGCTTGGGTGTAAATTTAATCATCACCTTAACTAATGATATTCTAAAACTTCAGAATAGCTTGAATTCTGAAAATTGAGCTTGTTCATATAGTATTTAAAATTCAAGTCTAATGATTATAAAAAGCTTTTAATTAAACTATTAATATCTAAATAAAAGAAAGAATATACAAACCTACTCATTATTTAATGATTATAAATTTAATATTGAGAAAAGTGGTAAAAAGTCATTCCTCCTCATTTTTATATGTTAACTAATTTTTATTCTTAACAAGGTTTCATTACTCAGGAAACATGATCCCAACATGAATATCCATTTTATAATGAATTAATGTTGCTATTTAAATAGATTGAGAATCAAACTTTGCACATTTTTCTCTTGTAAGTCAAACAATAAAAATAACAATAAGGATCATCTGAATTGAGAGTTAACGAAATCTTTTAAGTAACTTTTTAGAACTCCCAAATGCACATTGTTGTTTATAAAAAACAAATATAATCATATTAATCTAGATTCTGGTTTTTTTACAGTAGGTTCGTAATGAGAACTCAAGCTATTATTCATCAGTCATGAGAGAGCTTAACTAATGGATATCATTATGATGTATAACCTGACTGGAATTAAATTGTTCCAAGAAAGGTAGGTCAATAAATAAGAGTTGAATAGAGTTCTGCAATCACTCTTACAAAATGGACTATAAATACCAGAGTGGAACATAATTTAGGACATGTTACCTACTGAAATTCGTCTTACTAATTTATGGTAGAACTTAAAATAGTGCAGTAAATTTCTGTGTCCAAATTCCAATTAACTGAACTCTAATGCGATTAAATAGAAAATATATGAAGTTGAATTCATTTGGATTTATGAAAATAAATGAATATTTATCAAGTTAATTCTTGACTTGATTCTAATTATACAAAAAATATTTATGTAAAGCCGCAAAATGTTAGATAATTAAGTTTTCTAGTAAATTTAGTTAGTGACAGAAGTAGAATTAATTTAAGTTAATTAAGCAATGTTTAAATTAATGTTTTTCGGGTAAAAATTGTAAAAATTCATACCCAAAAACCATTCTTAGCTTTAATTGTAATTGAACAAAAGACAACTCTAGTTCTATGATAATTTAGCATTTATTATATATATTTTTAGGATAGTTTCAAACTTCTTGGTTATCACTATTACCAAATTGAAACCAATTTAGATGTAACTTGATTTAAAAATAAATAGAATTTTAAAACTCAATTCCTTTATTATGAATTAAATAGAAAATTACAATTTTAATCATTAACGTTGTTCACAAAAGTATTAACAAATTATTTTTTATAAATTTCTATTGGACCTATCAAGTTTTCTTCGAAATTCATAATTCTTAAATTTGTTTATTTATGTTCAAATATTCAGTTAATAAATTTGAATGTTGGGTTTAATGAATATTATGAAATTAATTTGAATAATGATAATGATTTAATATTGATTATTATTATCAACTATTTTGGTGAATTTTATTGTTGTCATCAATTTTAGGTTCAACGCAAAACAGAAAACAAGTTAGTGAAGACACTTAAATCTAAATACTGTATAATTTTGCAATAAATGTTAGAAACTGATTTAATTCATCAAAACTTAATTAAATATCTTCTGCATAATAACCTAAATAGATAGGTGAAAGACTGAGGTGACAATAATTCGTATCAAAATTTAAATGATTCTGATGTGCCAAATTACAAGGGATTTGATTGAGCTTGACATTACTGATGCTGAAGTAGAAAGACAAAAGCTAGAGGAGGTTAGAAGTTAATTGAAAAAACACCTATTGAAATTCTAAAGAGCAGTTGAAATACAATAATTTTTAATAATTTTTGAATACTAAAATTATTCTCAATTATCATTTATCTTTTCTAAATTGACAATAAATTGTTTCTTCTTCCTTATTTTGTGCTCTAATTCTGTTATTTCATCAAACATTTTGTAAAGATTAGACTTCCTTAATTCAACTACAGCTTTCAAAAAAATGAGCAGAGCTCTAACCACTAATGACTTTGAAGCTGTTTATTCTTCTGTATAACTATTTACTTATTCTAAATATTTTAATTGTTTTTCCTTTAATATACTAATATCTAAATATAAAATTGAATTAATAAAATTTCCTTGACCAAGGCGCTTTTGGCATTCCTTCCAATTATCTTTTTATATCTTAAATGTTGAATCTGTTGCCAAGCAAACTAGAGTTATTACCTTCTCAATAATTTCAGGTGGTTAGGCATAGTGTTTCAGCTCTACAAAACGACTTCTAGGAATTTCTGATATTTGATTTAATGCTGCTTACAAATCTTGTTGTTAATTTGGATTTTTGGTTGCTTCTAAAATTTAGATTTTGACTTATATTTCATTTTATTATTCTACTATTAAATATTATAAGTTATGTATTTATTTTGGAAGCATTAATTTTATAGTTTCATTTGCCCTTCTGCTTACCAATCTAAATTGTAAAATTTGTTGAATATCTAAAAATATTAATATTTAATTGAAAACTTCTGGTCTTACCTAATGTAACATGTTATGCTTAGTTTAATCTGGATTATTCAAATTATTTGATAATTGATAAATTTCTTATTTACTTTTGGTCTTGATATTATTTAACACAGTCGATAGCGTTTGCAACATTAATTTTATTTTCAATAAAATTATAATATATCCAATTGATAATTATGATCTTCTTAATTTTTTACTCATCATAAATTTTCTAATTTATAAAGGCTTATCTGTTTATACAGAGGTATAATGAATTATTAAAAATAGTAAGCTCTTCAGCATTAAAAATTAAAAGAATAAAAAAATTTCAAATTGTCTCAATAATGTATCTTTATCATGAGCCATTCTTGCAAAATACATCTTAAATTATTTGTCCTAAATTACTGAATGGAAACTTTCAAGAAATATTCATAACAATTCCTATTTCTTTGATTTAATAATTATCAACCTTGATTTTAATATAAAATCCATAATTTCGAACATATTCAATCAATTGTTTTTTAGAACAGGCTGCAAGAATGTTATCATGTTCATGTTCTATTCTTTCTTCTTAATTAACAGATGCAAGCTATATTTCAAATAAGACTATAATCTTTCCAAATATTATTGAATGAATTAAGATAAAGAAGTAACAACATAATCTTAAATAATATTTTGTGTTTCAAACAATTTATCTAAAACGGATTCAATGAAATTTTGCATTGAAAAAATTTTGAAGGTGTTTGTGTCGAAGATATGAAATAAGTATAAAAAAGGCAAGAGTCAAATTATCTTCAATAGTTGACAGATAATATAAAGGTAATAAATTAGGATTAATGCGATGCTAGTGGAGTGTTTTAAGAATTATTTCAGTCGTATAAACACTATTATTAAGGATACATGTAGAAGGACAGGATTAAAATGCTGTTTAACCAGAGTCATGAAAGAAATGGATCTGATGATTTAATTATTCACTGTGGAACTATCACAAAAACAACAAACATTTTTATTTGCAATATTTACAGCAATCAAGGGGAAAAGCCGCTGAAATTTAAGTTGTTGAATCCTGTGCAAAGACTGATAATGATTTGTTAACAGTATTACGCAGCAAAAATATAGATCAGATGTATATCAAGTAGATTTGGAAGATATTCAACTCTTTAGAGAGTAAGTGTATAATAAGAGATTACCTAATAGATATAGTACATTTACACTCTTTCGAGAAGAAATGTATAATCTTAAGGGTAACAGAAAGCAAAGTTGAAACATGCTTTTTATTACAAGGATTTGAGCTAACGCTACTTGCTGATAATGAATTTCCATCTTATGGAATTACATGCTTACTTCCTCTTTTCACTTGAACAATTATTTCTTCATGCCTTTATGGATAAATTTAACAAGTAATAGTGTTTGCTTAACTATGATGGCACATGAAAATGTAATAGATCAACAATAGTAGATAGGTCAAATATGAATAGGCTTGTGCACCTTACCAGATACCGTTTTTTGCATCGCAATACTTTAGAAGTAGATAATCTTTCTTTATAATAGTAAAATCAGATATTCAAGTCTCATGTAAAGTGGCATAACTTTTTCAAAGAAACTCTAATTTTCTCTAAATATCCATCTTTTAAGACACAAATCAATACATTAATTATTTTGTGGATATCCTCTTATATTTTTATTGTCTTGTATTTACAATGAATATTTATTTTAATTTGTAATTAATTCTTACCAGGATCCATTCGCCACGGAATTCTCAAGTGTTCCTAAACTGGAAGGGGACCCCAGCTACTGCCAGGCCAGGGAAGTCTGAATTCTCTTCAAACATGGCCAGAAGGGATATGAAGCTTAGGGAACTTGAGACAAAGAATGAGACGAAGGACCACCTCCTTATTTTTTGTTCTGATCCTATTGCTGGTTCGGGGCTTTTAACTTAGTAGTTTATAGAGATCTTTGATATATATTATCTCTAGTGCTATTTATGCCTCCTGAACAAATACTAATTCCAGAACTTTCTACTAAAATCATCGATTAATAACATAAATCTCGATGAAGCACTAAGGAGTACCACATTACAATTACAAATTAATTTAAAATATATAGTGCAGTTCCTAAAGAACTCCACTGGGATCTAGAGTTAGGCACCCTCTAAACCTCCCAGCATTATTAACCCCAGGTGTCTCGATATTAACTATAAATTCTACATCAAACTTTGATTTGACAAACTCTAGTAAAATAAGGCGATGAAAATAGTATCAAAGTACATTCTGATAATAATATATCTCTAGCGAAATCTAAGTATCTTGATAAGCTCTTAAAAATAACATTCTTAGCAAAAGTAAACAAGCAGCAAAATCATGAAGAGCGATCCTATTCTGGCAATATAAAAAATGGTTTTAAATATAACATTTTACGAGTTCAAATGGAATTTAACCATTACGAAAAATGAAAATGATATCAATAAATATTAAATAATATAAAAAGCACTTAAATGTTAAATGAATTTTAAAATTTAAGAACAATTGCAAATAATTTATTGAATAAATCAACAGTTAAAATTTTAGTAAACAAACCTAATAACAAATTGAGATACTAGTATATGGAAGGAATTTGAAAATACTAAGTGGAAATGAATTAGAGAATAGAAAATAAAAAGTTAAAATATTTTTAATTCATATTTTTGATAATTATTTCACTATTTGATCTTTTTCGGTTGATCCTTATTATAATGCCGCCATATATAATATTTTAGCTTCAGATTTTATTCCTAACTGGCTTAGTGAATCAGCTAAAGAATTTATATTTAAATATCCTACCTTTGAGTTTTAATATTTGAGGATTAGGAAAAATAGAACTAGCCTGGTCATAAAAGTCGATTGCATTCTAATATTTCTATAATTTATGTAATGCGAATCCTAGGTTAAAAGCATTTTACCTTTGTTTTTCAATGCAAGGTGATTTTTAGGATTGATTGATATTGCGATATCACAACACTCAATTGCTTCTGAAAATTTGCTTAAATTGTTTAATGCGAAACCTAAATGATAACGTTAAAAATTTTATCACTTTTATTGTTCCACACCATATCATTATTAAAATTAATTGATATGGCTTTATCATAACACTCGATTGATTTTTAATATCTGCTTAGATTGTGTATAATTCCGTCGCAAATAATGCAAAGCCTAAATGGAAACCAGAGTAATACCCTTATTATTCCAAGACATTTCATTATAAGGATTAATTGATATGGCTTTATCATAACACTCAAGTGCTTTTTAATATCTGTTTAAATTGTGTAAAGCGAAACCTAAATGGAAATGTTGAACTCATTATTACCCTTATTATTCCAAGCGTCATCATTATTGCAGTTAATTTATATAGCTTGATCACAACACTAAATCGCTTCTTCAAATCTACTTAAACTATATAATGCTAAACCTATATGAATTTTAACAAATTATTACCCTTATTATTCCATGCGCTATCATTATCAAAATTTGTGGATGTTGCTTTATCACAACACTTGATTGCTTCTGAAAATCTACTTAAATTATTTAATGCTAAACCTAAGTTATGATGTTAAACAAATAATTACCCTTATTGTTCCAAGCGTCATCATTATTAATATTAATTGATATTGCTTTATCGTAACACTCAATTGCTTCTTAAAATCTATTTAAACTATCTAATGCTAAACCTATAAAATGATGTTAAATGATTACTAACTTTATTGTTCCAAGCGTCATCATTCTAAAAATTAATTGATATTGCTTTTTCATAACACTCAATTGCTTCTTAGAATTCACTTAGTAACCTTTGAGCAATGAGATGAAGTCATAAGGCAGAACCTTAAAGAATACAATTTATAAAGTACCTTTCGAATTATATACTATACTATTTTTAGAATATAATTTGATAGAATCATTAAACTTACTCAAAGCCTCTGCAAATTCACCTTTTTCGACCATCTATTAATAGATGAAAATTCTAATAATTAATATTACCTTGATTAAATAAGATTTTTGCTTCTTAAATAATTATCTGCTGCTGCTATTCATTTTCCTCATTGTTTTCTTTAATTTGTATTTTATCAACATTCCCAGGATTAACTTGTTCAATCCCTTAATTTTATACAAGTTATAAACTTTTAATTGTTTCAAGATATTTCTTCAAATCTATTATTTATTATTCTATTAAAGTTACTCAATTCTTACATATTTCTTTTTCCTTTTCCTTTGAATAATATGTCTTGATGATATTTATTTACTATTTAAACTTCAAATACTCTTTATTTACAAATGAATAATTGATATTTTTTAAAATTGCAATATCTTGATCCATTTTTGTTTAAAGTTACTCAAGACAATTCTTCAGTTAATTGACGATTTCTTTAATTTGCATACTATAATTGTTGTTTATTTAAATGTATTCTTATATATATTAGCTCATCGTAACAAACCGAATACAATCGTTCTCATGATCTGAATGAATCCCTGTTAAACATTAATAACAATATTAAGTTGCATTTTTACAATCATTCAAACAAAATCCTATTATTTCTTCATTTTCATGGTTTAGATATCTGCACTTAAATATTTCCATTTTGATTTAAAAATAATAATATCATATACTTCAAGTTATCATTTGAATTATTTTCATTCCTCTGATTTTCATTTAAGGTGATTTCAAAACACAGCCATCAAAATGCAATTCCTTTTTCCTCCAAGGCTGTTTATGAAAAATATCAAATTTATTTTAAATTTTGCGAACTCTGAAATGTGAGTAGAATTTGAAAAAAGTCTAGAGAGGAGCATCTCAATAAAAGAAGTGAAAAACATAAATAAATGGATTATTTTATTTCTAATAAACTCAAAAATATATGTGAGTCGAGGAAAATCTAAATAGTGGAAGCTAGTTGTGATATATAAAAAAATTTCTATTTGGTTGATTTATTTTAAGCATACAAAAGGCAAAGTATTTTTAACCATTATTATAAAAGAAATGAAGCGTGAATTATTTTCAACCTAATAAGTGTAAATATACTCAATTTAAATAGATTGAAAACTCGAATCATTTCAATCATATTGGAAGCTTCATTTTGGAAACACTACCAAATGATGTTTTAAGTTAGGCATTAATAAGAAGGCTTCCTTAGGCTATAAAAGTAGATTTAAATTGTTTTTAGTTGATAAATAATCTGTGGTCATAACATCAACAATGAAGGAAAATGAATTATAAAGTTTTCTACTTAGAAATTTGTTATAAAAAAATTTTTCAGTATAGGCAACTAAGATTGGTCATCTAAAAAGAATGCAGACACTTATGTTGAGAAATTTACAGCAAAGTATTATATTTTTGTATATGTGTATTTAGTGAATGATAAAAGAATTAATGTTTGTAAATGTTGAACATGGATTAAAGAATAATTATCCTCCTCCTTCGAATTAATTTCTCATTTATACCATAGTTTAAATCACTGAAAATTCGCTTACAATAATTAAATTTTACATAAGGGTGTNTAATTAATATTACCTTGATTAAATAAGATTTTTGCTTCTTAAATAATTATCTGCTGCTGCTATTCATTTTCCTCATTGTTTTCTTTAATTTGTATTTTATCAACATTCCCAGGATTAACTTGTTCAATCCCTTAATTTTATACAAGTTATAAACTTTTAATTGTTTCAAGATATTTCTTCAAATCTATTATTTATTATTCTATTAAAGTTACTCAATTCTTACATATTTCTTTTTCCTTTTCCTTTGAATAATATGTCTTGATGATATTTATTTACTATTTAAACTTCAAATACTCTTTATTTACAAATGAATAATTGATATTTTTTAAAATTGCAATATCTTGATCCATTTTTGTTTAAAGTTACTCAAGACAATTCTTCAGTTAATTGACGATTTCTTTAATTTGCATACTATAATTGTTGTTTATTTAAATGTATTCTTATATATATTAGCTCATCGTAACAAACCGAATACAATCGTTCTCATGATCTGAATGAATCCCTGTTAAACATTAATAACAATATTAAGTTGCATTTTTACAATCATTCAAACAAAATCCTATTATTTCTTCATTTTCATGGTTTAGATATCTGCACTTAAATATTTCCATTTTGATTTAAAAATAATAATATCATATACTTCAAGTTATCATTTGAATTATTTTCATTCCTCTGATTTTCATTTAAGGTGATTTCAAAACACAGCCATCAAAATGCAATTCCTTTTTCCTCCAAGGCTGTTTATGAAAAATATCAAATTTATTTTAAATTTTGCGAACTCTGAAATGTGAGTAGAATTTGAAAAAAGTCTAGAGAGGAGCATCTCAATAAAAGAAGTGAAAAACATAAATAAATGGATTATTTTATTTCTAATAAACTCAAAAATATATGTGAGTCGAGGAAAATCTAAATAGTGGAAGCTAGTTGTGATATATAAAAAAATTTCTATTTGGTTGATTTATTTTAAGCATACAAAAGGCAAAGTATTTTTAACCATTATTATAAAAGAAATGAAGCGTGAATTATTTTCAACCTAATAAGTGTAAATATACTCAATTTAAATAGATTGAAAACTCGAATCATTTCAATCATATTGGAAGCTTCATTTTGGAAACACTACCAAATGATGTTTTAAGTTAGGCATTAATAAGAAGGCTTCCTTAGGCTATAAAAGTAGATTTAAATTGTTTTTAGTTGATAAATAATCTGTGGTCATAACATCAACAATGAAGGAAAATGAATTATAAAGTTTTCTACTTAGAAATTTGTTATAAAAAAATTTTTCAGTATAGGCAACTAAGATTGGTCATCTAAAAAGAATGCAGACACTTATGTTGAGAAATTTACAGCAAAGTATTATATTTTTGTATATGTGTATTTAGTGAATGATAAAAGAATTAATGTTTGTAAATGTTGAACATGGATTAAAGAATAATTATCCTCCTCCTTCGAATTAATTTCTCATTTATACCATAGTTTAAATCACTGAAAATTCGCTTACAATAATTAAATTTTACATAAGGGTGTATTTTTCTGTCCCAAGTTTAATTCTTATTAGATAAACTCAAGGGACTTGAGACGTTAGCCAAGCTGAGTAACCCATAATTACCTAAAAAATGGAGAGATATGAGGTTGAGTGCTTATGACAAGATATGGTAGAATCTGCACTATTATATACCTTACTTCAACTCAAAGCGTATCAGGATAGACCTGGATGTTTACAGAGTGGTATTCTCAACCACTCGCTCTGCATAAGTCCTTATATTTTTCCTCACTGTTATGATGTTGAGAAAACAAAATTATCCATTTTTAAAAAATAGTTAACATGATAATAATTATTATTATGATAAATTCACATGAATATATTTGGACATTTTATTAGTATTACAAAATATTCTTTATTTTTTTACTTTAATGTAAAATTGTAAAAAAATATCTACGTGTATCATGGAATAATGGAAATCAGTTGAACATCAAATTATCTTTATAAATTTAGGATTTAACATAATTAACAAAATAATGTTATGCTCAAAAGTAATAGTATGAATATAGTTAGACAGGCCCTCTAAAAGTTAATCAATATAGGACATCCCTTGAAGAGATTTGTGAGCCATTTTAGAGGATAATTGTCAAAAATGCCTTAATAACAAGTTCCTTGGGATAATTTAGAGCAATTGGATAGATTAGTATGAAAATATGATGGATCAAGATTCTAAAATTGCTTATTTGTAAATATTTAAATATCATGACTCGTATTCCCTATTATTGTAATCAATAATAATTGATTATAATCTGTAAACGAATTTTTTGATTTTCCACAAAACCTACTCAGAATTATATATGTCAAATTAATCATAATTTATGAATTATTCTATTAATAATTTCTAATATTTTTCATTGTTGTATAGTTCTCCTAATTTATATTTCTTTAGATGAAATATCCCAAGTAATCAAATACTATCCATCATCAGTCATGTATCCAAATAACATATCACTATCAAATTGAATAGATTACTCAACTGTAAATTGATGATTATCTGTCATTCTTATTAAATTGATATACCTACCATGTTTACAAACAAGTAACTATTTTGATTTAATATATTATTTTGGGAAGAATATTGTATTATCTTGACCTTGATTCACAGCAATGTGTTTAGTTTATTTGAACTAGTTACTTTCATTATTCATATCATAGATATACATCACATTGCTTTTCTTTGGTTGAAATGTGAAAAGATGATCATTGATAAAACATAATCTATATCCATAACAATCAACTTTTATTGTTTATATGACCATCCATTATTCATAAAATTGTGAATACTCAATTACTAATATTAATTGATCACATCCACATGAAATAACTTTATTTTATTTGTCATTTAAGCTTAATTAATAAACACAATCTTTATGATCTGTTATTGTTTATAAACAGACCCATTCGATTTGCTTTACCCAAAACTTAATAGTATAATCAGAACTACTTGATATAATAATATCTTCATCATTATTCATAATTAAACAATTTATACGATCATTGTGTTTTAAAAGTGTTGATGAGCAAATCCATTCATTATTATTATCGCTNTACTTCAACTCAAAGCGTATCAGGATAGACCTGGATGTTTACAGAGTGGTATTCTCAACCACTCGCTCTGCATAAGTCCTTATATTTTTCCTCACTGTTATGATGTTGAGAAAACAAAATTATCCATTTTTAAAAAATAGTTAACATGATAATAATTATTATTATGATAAATTCACATGAATATATTTGGACATTTTATTAGTATTACAAAATATTCTTTATTTTTTTACTTTAATGTAAAATTGTAAAAAAATATCTACGTGTATCATGGAATAATGGAAATCAGTTGAACATCAAATTATCTTTATAAATTTAGGATTTAACATAATTAACAAAATAATGTTATGCTCAAAAGTAATAGTATGAATATAGTTAGACAGGCCCTCTAAAAGTTAATCAATATAGGACATCCCTTGAAGAGATTTGTGAGCCATTTTAGAGGATAATTGTCAAAAATGCCTTAATAACAAGTTCCTTGGGATAATTTAGAGCAATTGGATAGATTAGTATGAAAATATGATGGATCAAGATTCTAAAATTGCTTATTTGTAAATATTTAAATATCATGACTCGTATTCCCTATTATTGTAATCAATAATAATTGATTATAATCTGTAAACGAATTTTTTGATTTTCCACAAAACCTACTCAGAATTATATATGTCAAATTAATCATAATTTATGAATTATTCTATTAATAATTTCTAATATTTTTCATTGTTGTATAGTTCTCCTAATTTATATTTCTTTAGATGAAATATCCCAAGTAATCAAATACTATCCATCATCAGTCATGTATCCAAATAACATATCACTATCAAATTGAATAGATTACTCAACTGTAAATTGATGATTATCTGTCATTCTTATTAAATTGATATACCTACCATGTTTACAAACAAGTAACTATTTTGATTTAATATATTATTTTGGGAAGAATATTGTATTATCTTGACCTTGATTCACAGCAATGTGTTTAGTTTATTTGAACTAGTTACTTTCATTATTCATATCATAGATATACATCACATTGCTTTTCTTTGGTTGAAATGTGAAAAGATGATCATTGATAAAACATAATCTATATCCATAACAATCAACTTTTATTGTTTATATGACCATCCATTATTCATAAAATTGTGAATACTCAATTACTAATATTAATTGATCACATCCACATGAAATAACTTTATTTTATTTGTCATTTAAGCTTAATTAATAAACACAATCTTTATGATCTGTTATTGTTTATAAACAGACCCATTCGATTTGCTTTACCCAAAACTTAATAGTATAATCAGAACTACTTGATATAATAATATCTTCATCATTATTCATAATTAAACAATTTATACGATCATTGTGTTTTAAAAGTGTTGATGAGCAAATCCATTCATTATTATTATCGCTTAACCAAATCAATATAGTTCCTAACTTATCTCCAGAAATAAGCTAATTGGATTTTTTCATTAAATATAAAGTGGTCACGTCCACCTAATGTTTGTTTAATATTTGTATCTATCTCAAAGTTCCTAACCCGAATTCATATATTTTTATTAATTTTTCACATCCAGCTGCTACTATTGAGCATTCTTTATTAACCGCAACTGCTAAAGAAAATTCCTTTTATTTAATAGAATTTTTATTCATGATCTCATATGAGATAGGGCTTATATTTGGCTTTAATATATCTTAATTTTTTGGTTATTCTTATATAAATTAACCAGTGGTATATGAGATTTATATAATATCATTTTTGATTATATTGGTTTGATTCTTTAATGTTTTTAGTATTTCGAGAACAATTTATTGTACTTATTGAATTGATTGATCAAGTTGTCTAAATAACATTTTTTCGCATTCTTGTATTAAACCTAAACTTTTTACTAATTTATCAATCTATGATAATCCTAATTTAGGTATTTAATCAATATTAAAATTACAATAAGGAGAGAACTAGATCAAAAGATTGTCAATGGAAAATTTGAACTCATGTACATTTTTTTAAACATCTTGAGCCTAAAGGATTCGTTCCTAAATCCATTCATTTATAAGATCGAAAGGTGTTAGCATGTGAAGATGTTTGCTATGGAAAGACAAGCAAAAATTACAGTAGGGTCTTATGTTTGGGCATGTAATATCTACGCAAACCCCAATTATAGATTGATTTCGATGGTCAGCTTAATTACATCTCATTTGCATTTCTAATTCTATTAAAATTAATATCTAATAAATTTGGATTATTTTGATTATGATTAGACCTTATAATAATAAAGTCTTAATATTATCCAAAATGAAGGTTACATGACAATTAAAAAAATATTTTTGTAAAAGGAACTCCAAATTTGCCAGATCTTTTATAATAGCAATAAGAATAAACTTAAATATTTGACTCGCTTCCAAAGGAAAGATTTTCTTAACTAAATATATTTGAAATTGCTTGAGAATAGTTCTACAATATATTAAATTTGATTCACTAAAAGGAAATTTAAGTTATGCTGGTAATTCAACGAACCAAAATAGCTTCTTTAAGAAAATCTGTTTCTAGTTAAATTTTAGATTGGGCTTGAAACTTTTGAATATTGTAGGAAATTGAACTGCGAAGTTAAACGAGGCAACGAAACTTTTGTTCTATTCAGATTTCATACTCAGTAAAATTCTTAAATTTGAAACCTTGTACTAATATTAATATATTTATCATATATCTTGAAATGCAAATCGTAATACCTAAATTATAATACACAAATGGATTCGCGCTAAGAGTTATTTTAGTTTATTGTAAATGTTGATAATTAATTAAAGCCTTCTTTTCGTAATATAAAAGTATAATATAGGATGTAATATTTTATTTTAAGAACTTGTTGCTTTAAAGTTAAGCAAAATATTTATTTAGTTCTTGTTAATTATTAATAGTGAAGGCTTCGACTAAAGATGAAGTAATCTATATCATATGATGAGTATAAGCAGCTTTAAACAATTGGAAGAATGGAAGCAATCAATAACATAAACCCGAAGAAATCTACAGAGGTGAAACATATTTGAATAATATAAAAAGTGCAGAAATAATAGTGACTTCAAACACTCTGAAATTCTTTACTTCAAGGATATCAAGTAACCTCCTCATATATTTTATTTAATATGATTTATATAGTTTTTAGGCAAGAAAATGGAGTACAAAGGTAAATTTGAAAATCTTACTTTTTATATAATAAGATAAATGGTTTATGGGTATTTGCTACCAAATTTTCTAAATATGAAATGATTACTTTCGGGAGTTTTAAATTAAAATGTTAATCCTTATAGCTACATTTTAGAAAATCTATAAAATGCAACAAGAGAGAAAAGGATACGTACCTGCATATTCAAAAAAAATACTTATATTTATTTGTTAAAGAGGTAAGTTGTTAATTATATTAGAAATACAAAGATTTAAACATATTGATATAAGCTAGTCATTTCATTCAATTGGCTGAAGAAACTTCTTTGCATCTCAGCTCTCTAATATCTTTATCATCATTTAGAAGTATACAATAATCGATTTTATAGAAATTAGGTCTATGCTTTGGAAGATTATCCAAAAATATCGATTATACAGTCTTTTTATTTATTAAGTTAAATTAAGCATGATGTGCTCAATTCTCAATAGGATAAACATTTTAAAATAGTATTGAATAATTAAAAATTATCTTAATCCAAATATAAAGGATTCAATCAATACTATCCTTGGAGCTATTCTAACAAAATTGGAAAGACTTCTAACTCTGATATTCCAAAATATTAATTTCTATTTTTAAAGCATCAATTATCTCGAAAAAGAAAACTTTTAAAATTTTTATTAAAAAATTATGCCGATTTATTTAATCTGCTTTTATCTACATCGTTTCAATAATCGCTTTATATATATTAAGTTGTCATTTAAAATTTTAGAAGAAGAGAAGATTCACTCTTATAATAATCTTTGTTAGCAAAACGAAGAAAAATATAGATTCTACATATAAACATTAATTTGAGTTTTGCATGATCATTTAAATTTTCCATTCTGTTTCAATAGAAAAATTGAATATATTCAGTTTTAAGCTATTATGATATATTTAATTATGATTTTTAATATACATCAGTTCTTCTTTGATGATGATAATATCATTATTAGATTTCTAAGGAACAAATTCAAATTATTTGATGGATAGTTTCTAAAACTAAAGGGGCGAGTAAGTAGTTTAAATTTATTACGCAATTGAAATTACACTATTATGGCTTCCACCTCCTCCTAAATTATATTATCTATTATTAGCAAGAGAATAATTAGATTCAAGTTTGTAATTTTCGCTTGTAAATTAATTAGAGAAGTAGGAATCATTTAATTTTTTAAAGGATCCATCTACTCCTAAAATGATTTTGATATCCCAATTAGGTAACATTTTCATAATTACCTAAAATATCTACAGTCACAGAGGTTGAATTTAATTATAAAATCTAAATATCAATTTGAAAATACTTTGAGATAAAAATCCACTTTTCTTTTAAAACCAATACTTGTTATAGAGACATATCCTGATAATGTATTAGGGTTGTTGTTTAAAAGGTTTTTCTTTTAATTTCAGTCATGTTATAACAATTTATTACTTATATTCTTTAGTCATCAATTGCAAACCATTTAAATTGAAGCATTTCCACATTTCCTGATTTCGGGCAGGCAATATTTACAAAAAATGCTCTTCAAAATATATTTAATTTTTTACATTGATTTTCAATCTATGAAACAGAGGCTTGTACTTCATTTTCATCCCTGGGCATATTGAGTTACCAAACCTTAAAAATTACTTAAGGCAGTCTATCGTATTCTTGAAAAATAATTGAGTAAGATAAGGAGTTTGATTAATTGCACATTCTTGTTTATTTTCATTGAGAGGATAATCAAAATCATGAAGTAACGTAACTGTATAAATTTTGTCTATGAACATTAGAAGAATGATATTTAATAAAAAATACATAATGTTTATTTATGATCTTATTTCCTTTTATCCTTATAAATTATTCTTACTGATTTTTGAATAGTATTATAATTAACAGATATAATTTCTAAAATCAAATAAACAAATGGATTCTATTTATCTTCATTGATTCATCATTTAAGTATCAATCCAAAATATCTACCGCTGTTATTGTCTTGATAACAATAAACCATAATAATTTTACTTTAAAGTTTCATGAAAAAGGATTTTAATGAGATTAATTATCTAGAGAATGCTTTTAAATTTTAGTAATAATTTTTAATTTAGAAAATATATGAACATTTCATATCAATTACTAATAAAATATCATTCACAAATGTACACTATAGAAGTTTGGTATTTTTAAGCAAAGAATCTATGATGATTGAAAAATTATTTGGACTGAGGTATAAATTTATAAAGATGTCAATTTTGATTGCTACAATTATAATAATACTCTTCTTAGAGATTGTTTGGTTTATGGTATTTGTCTAGAAGAGTATATTATTTAGATAGATTTTATTATAAACTCACCTGAGAAGATATATTAATTGTTATTTGGAATTGAGTGAGCATGGTAATTTAATACCATATGACAGACTTAATAGTTACAATTATTTTATGAAATTACAATATGGGCGATATTGAAGTAAATCAAACATTTTTTTGTACCTAGATTGTAAAATATTCTAATTTCTGATAATGTGTAAATTAAGAAGGCTCTTTATGTTTATTTAAATTTCTTAGAGCTGTTGAATTTCTTCTCAAGAATTTATCAGATGAAATTAATTAAATGCAAATTTTAGAATTAACTTCCACTTATACATCAATTAAATTTTGATTAATATATTCTTTAATTTAACAATCACAAATTATTTTAATTATCATTATCATTCATAAAACACATTTTTAATAATCACAATTCTTTTCTTAACAAGCACTTTTACAGAACTGAATACACTGATTCTTAATAATTTTTTAGATTCTTTTGTTTTATTTGAGAAAAGCAGCTGTGAATTTCTTAATTCAATTTTAAACTTGTACGACAATCTTGTTTTGATAATCTTCTTTTCAAGTCACTCCACACATACTCAATAGGGTTTAATTATGGACTATATGGAGGCAAATAGACATGATTAACATATTTTAAAACCTCTTTAGTCAGGTTATTTTCCTTATGAACTGAAGCATTATCAAACACGAAGACATAATTTCTCAATCCATATTGCTAATTACAAACATGAACTAATTTAATTAGGTAATTTTTAATGAGCTCTGCATTCACATTGCATCTTACGCACTAATACAATAAAAGATCCTTGCTGATTCCCCCAATTCTGTTTATCCTATCTCTAATATCCATTCTATCAATAAAAAATGATTAATTTTTCTTACACCAAACTTTAGGTCTAATGTAATCCTTACCTAATCCTGTTTCATCAATATAAATTATCTCTTTCTATTGTTTTATATGGTATAATATAGTTAATGCATATACATATTATTTACTTTTATTAACCCTTGTTGTGGCTTTAAAATTAATCTTTGATGCTAGCTTATAAGAAATTCCCATAGATTTGACTATTTTGATGAAGCTAGACTGTGATATCTGATTTTTACTTAATTTAAAATGATTTAAAAAATCATTAAAAATATGTTACATTGAACTCAATTAAGTTTAATTTGAGTTAACTAAGTATTGATTAATCCAATCGCTATGTTATTCTTCAATCCAAAATAAATTTTCGTTTGTTTGATTGCACTCTAAATCCAATTCGAAATTTAGTTATTTCAATTTTTTTAAGATAAGCCAGTGCAAACTGCTTAGGTGAAAATAGGAATTTTATTGTAATGAAGCTTTTTGATTATCTTTTTCATATTGTTGTGTTGCTTATATTGATTTTGAAAAGGCAGTGGGTGTTATTTAATTATCTTTTATTTTACGGTCTTTTGTTTTCGTTTGGCACTTTGTTGAATAAGTTAAGAACAAAATTATATTGCTTCATCATGTTAGAGTGAGTAATTCAGATTTCGTTCTTGAACTAATCGCAATTTATTTATTGTTCCAAATGATCTATAATAATTCAAACATTGGCCAGAGCAATCATGATCATTCAACAAGATATTTTAGCAGAGATAATGTTTAGAATCCAAGCTTTATCTGCCTAATTCTCTATCGCTTTCCAACTCCTCTACTTACATCTTTAATTAGAAATTAAATAAAAAATGTCTGTTAATAATGTAAAAAATTTCATAATATAAAAACATTATTCAAAAATAAACTTACTACTTCAATTATTACTAGCATTATTATCATGCTCTAATTAAATAATTCAAATTTTCAATTTTTAATTCAAAAATCCATTTGTTAATTCAAAAATCCAATTCTGAATTTGAAAATAAAAAATTATATTTACATTTAACGACCATGCAATTTCTATCAAGGAAGCCAATGCTGCCATAGGTTCTGTAGATTCAGCCTATAATGGCATCTTATTGAAAGGATACTACATTCCTAAAAGATCAAGCTCTCTAATAACAACTGATTATTTATTTAAGGTAATGACTAATAAGGTATTCCGCATGAAAATTTCTGATGTGAAGATTGGATAATTAATATAAAAAGCTAGTTCATAAAAGCTATTAGAAGGCTTGGAGTAATTGAATATTGGAAAGCCATGGGGATTTGATTAAGATCACCATCCAGACAATTAATGGATGGTGAATGTTTTATTCACATTAAACCCAAACCATAAACTGTTTAAAGATTCTGTTCATGAATGCTAATCTATATTAACTTAAGAAGACTTGAAGTAATTGTTTTTGCATTATTAATATAGAATGATATAATCTTTTAATACATCCAGCGAACGACAGTCACAAGGAAGGTTTTTTAAATAATAGACTCTTGAATACAAATTATAAATGAAATAGATAAGAGCCTAAAATAAATAAAATAAACTTAAAAATAAAAAATAAGAGATCATTAAATTGAATCAATAGATTGAAGAACTAGAAGATGCTTCTATTTAAGAAGAGCACTAAACATGAATGTACTACAAGATATTTAATTATTATATATAATACATATTTTGAAAAGTTATAACTATTTTAATTATAAAGTATGTCTTTAGCTCTCTATTAGTATTGTTGTAAGTAAGAGATCATATCTTAAATTTACTTGCTTTTAGAATGCTCTTAAAGAATATTAAAACTAACTGGATGATTTCATTATTTTACTGAAAAGGGATAGAAATTATAAGTACCTTTATATTAGCATTTAGTTAATTGAATAAACACCATAATGATATATGACTTTAAAAAATAGTTCATTATCATACACATGAGTTAATTAGCAAAGCAGTTTCAAATAATCATTTAATATTAGAAAGTAATTAAATAAGGAATATTGGATATTATACATTTTAATATTGATTTATAGATTCTCAGTTAGTAGTAGTACGTTAGTTGTAAAAAAAGAAGAAATAATCATCTCAGTTAAAGCAGTGATAACAATTAATTGATAAAATATAAGGAATATTACAAAAAAAAAAGAATAGAAAGCATCCTAGATGAATAAATCACATTGAGCTTTATAAATAGAAGAAAGTATAATAAACTTAAATTACTGAAGACTTAAATGATTAAAGTAAAAATAAATAATGCAGAGATGGAAATTAACTGTAAAATTTGACTGATGATAGTAAAGTGAACATGATAATTTAGAAAATATAAAATTAAACCAATGAATATATAATCTAAATTTAATTCATGTATAATATATTTTCTATACATCTATTTTTAACCAAATTAATTAATGGGCTTATTGAACTTATTTCTTACAGGGTTATCTCTGGGATCAGATGGATTAACGCTAATGTTTCTTAAAGATATGATACAACCTCTCATAAATAATGGATGTTCAAATTTTGCCTCCCTCTTATTTTATTGATCTCAATACTTATTCCTTGTTACTTTTTCTTTGGGCTTTATTCAAATAAAAATAGTTTAGAAAGAAGAAGGGTAAGATTAAATTGGGGTTATCTTTATAATGAATATAAAGTTTAAGTTTATTTTTGGGAATTGATTAAAATTATATAAAAAGAATGAATCATTCTTTCAATTGTCTATTATGAAGATACAATTGTAGTGAAAGGAGTGCTTGCGCAATTTATAACATATATATATTAAGAGTTAAATGCTCATTATTCTCCTTATAAACTCGATAAACTTAACAAACTGATTATTCAGCAAATATATGTATGATTACTATTGGTTTAGCCATTGGAACTTTTATATCTTAACAAACTCATCTAGATGAACTTCAGATACCATTTTTCTTTATAATGGGCCTTTTGAACTTATTATTTCTTTGTAACATTACAACAAAAATTATATTAGATGAAGAGTTTATATGAGCCTTGATTAAGGCATTTCTAAAATTAGAATCTTATCAACTATAGAT